CCCGTCTTTCCTTCACGCCCTCGAGCGGATTTCGCCTTCCGTTTCGTTTCACGCAGCAACGATTCGCCGGAACGACGTCTTTCGCTTAACCATTCCGCTCGACGTTCCGAAAGACATTTTTCCTTCATCTTTTCTTACACTTTCTGATCCCGAGATCCACCTTTCCGCGCCACGATCCTCCTTGATAAACCCGAAACTAAGAAATACCGAAAATTTCTTACGACTGTGAGAAGCAGACTCTGTGTGCTTTTCTTATTATTATATGTAGCAAAAGGGTCCTGCAATCTGCTTATCGAACCTCGATCAACCAGTTTCCTCGTTTTCTACAGCTTGCCACGCGTTTTTCACATTTTTACCGCGTATCGTTCTGTCGAAGCGGTCACCGCTTCTAAGAGAACTCTACATCTGATCTTTTTAGTTTTCTCAAGCAGTGAAGCCATCGACAGCGTGTAGACAAAAGACTGCGACGAAGACAGACCCATAAACAGTAGACAGGCGACGTTGGCTTCGGGCTTTTCAGTTATTGGGTAACACAGCTAGCGTACGGACCTGGACCAGCTCAAATTGTATTCTTACTTATAATTACACTTCTATTTAAGTATATTTTCTACCTTACAATTTATCCACGAGTTTCTCTGTTTATACGTCGAATAACCTCAACACGTTCAATTTGACGATTTCAGTTATCAGTTATCAGGAGGCTACTTATACCAATACTAGTCAAAAGGACTGGTACTTGTCAAGGCGTAAAAAGGTCCTGCAATCCGTTTATCGAACTACAATTAACCAGTTTCCTCGTTTTCTACTACTTGCCACGCGTTTTTCAAATTTTTGCCGCGTATCGTTCGATATGACGATATCAAACATCAGGAAAATTGCGGATCGATCGCTAGATCCACCACAGCAGTGGAAATGACTGGTTCTACAATTTTAGAAATTTGTCGACCCTCGTTTAGGGATCGTGGACCCAGATGGATTAACGAGAGCAAAAATGTACTGCGTAAGAAAGCAATAAATCAATAAGTATAAAAATATTCTATTATTAGGTATTTTTTAAAGACCAGTAATTTTCACTGGTTTTGGTAGAAATAGCTTCGTGTTAGTTATATGGATAATTCACGTGTTAAAACAACTCTGTGTTCAATCGAGACGACGATCTCACGATGCGCGATATTACTTTGTCAAGTAATTCCTGTACTGATAAATAGCTCGATTTTCGAATAGATTTTTGTAGATATCTAAAAATCGAAAATGTATTTATTTCCCAATACGTCGCTCTACTAACGACTATATAATGGAAGATTACAACGAAAGAAACGCGTTTACGCACACGTGGACACAAATATAATTCGAATCTCGCACGCTTCGATTTCCCTAAAAAGAAATATATGTATTATAATATTGAAAATAATTATCCTGCAAATTGAAAGTTAAAAGAAGCTATAAATTCCCCTTTTGCGAAGTAACCTGCCTCTTACGATCCATACCGTTCGTATACGAAAAATCTGAAACTCCGTTCTATTATTATCAATATCGCAATGTTTCTGGAGAAAGTAAAAAAGTTGTCATAAACGACGCCGGACAAAGGAAAGCCGATTTAACTGCTGGCGGAACATAAGAAAGGGGGACAGTTGTTAAATCCGATGGTTTTCGAACGGATACAACGATAAAGGAAGAATAACACGAAAGGAAACACTTTGAATGCAAACTAGAAGGTGGACGTATTTCTGCATCACCAGGTCCGATTTCCATCGGTTATTGAATCGTTAAGCTGGCCCTGTATAAAGAGATAGAAGCTATACGTTATATATCCGACCGCGTAAACGGCTACGATCGCGACATCACCCTGTATTTCTTCTTACATGACACTGGCCCCAATTTCTCTCTTTTTCTCTTTCTCTTTCTCGTTCTCTTCCCTTTTAGTCGTACGGCAACACGTTCGCTGGTTTCAACCCTGGCTTCACCCCTTGTCCGGGTTTTCTGTTCTCTCGTCGCGTCGGCGGATGATCGTGTCGCGTCCCAAGGAACGATGGATACGAGCGCGAATAATATTTCCAGCCGTTAAAACGTGTCAGCTCGCTGATCCCCATTGACATTTAAATATCCGTCGCTCCCTAGGCCAACGGATATCAACGGCTCCAGCCGATATTTCTCAAGCTTTCGCCAATGTGCTTACCGATATTCCGTTTACTTCTTTTCGTTTTTTAGTGGAAACGTTTCTTCTGGTGAGATACAGCGACTGGAAAAAGGGGCTTGTATTTATTATAGCCTACTATTTATGGGTTTAGCAATAATTAGATGCAGGTTTTTTGCGTATTTAAGATAAAAAAGGAAAAAAAGAAGCAAGAAAAAGCGGAGAACTCGTTGGAATTTTTAGTACGACGAATTGCTACGCAGGTTTCGTTTCGTTGGTTTTTCCCCGTTGAAATACGAAACTGCGTTGAAAACTTGCAGTCTGCTAACGATCAGTTATTGGCTTGGTAACTAAGCGATTGCGGATTTCGTCGATACGTGAAATTGACAAAACTTGGATACAGTTGCGGTATTTCGTTATTTAGACGATAGAAAAATACGATAAAAGCAAATAAATAGAAGCAGTCGATGCTGCTTTCTCGTTAGATTCTTATTAGACGGTTGGTCTCGGAACAAAAAGTAAAAGGGAAAAGGCACGTGAAAACAGGTGAAAAATAACGTGGTAATGTAATTTTGTAAAATAATATAACTTGCGCGTTAATCTGACAAATACTTCAGTCGATATAAGAATTAATGAGCTAGAAAATCAAGCCACTTCTACGTTCAGTCGCAACGGAAAAATTGACAAAGTGTCGCGTACAGCTGACAGCTCTTCCTTTTCATCGCACGAGTCTGTAGAAGAGACGAAAGCGAACTCGTCTTTCGACGAGCAATCGCAAGATCTCAAACAGTTCTACAGCTTTCCTTGCTACCTCGATAATCACGAGCACTAACCATCGGTCGTCTACCGATCTCCTTTCTTCTTCCAAAGACGTTGCGATATTTCCCGCAGACTCCCACTGCTTCCATCTTCTTCTTCTCTTCTTATTTCGAGTTGTACAATTTCTTAATATCTGACGATGTAGCCAATTAGGCAAACGTGTTACGCGTACGTATGTGTTGTAATTATGTAATTAACAGTAGAACTACCACTCAGTCAAATTGACTGCTCTTATAATTTTATTTTAAAATTCCTACTTTGTTATATTTTTTCCACAATGATGTAACGACTTTTGCAACGATAACTAAAAGAATAATACAATGAATTTTATTTTGTTTTTATGTATTCAAACTGGAAATAATTTTGTATCGAGGCTACTTGTATCAATAATAGTCAAAACGACTGGCACGTGTCAAAGTGTAAAAGAGTCTGTTTATCGAATCTCAGTTAACCAGTTTCCTCGTTTTCTACAACTTGTCACGCGTTTTTCAAATTTTTACCGCGTATCGTTCGATTTGACGATATCGGTTATCAGGAAAATTGCGGATCGATCGCTAGATCGCTAGATGCTAACGCTAGAAACTCCACAGCAGTGAAAATGACTGGTTCTACAATTTTAGAAATTTGTCAACCCTCGTTTAGGGATCGTAGTCCCAGATGGATTGATAATAGCAAAAATGTACTGCATGACATGGAATTGTTTCCGTAAGAAAGTAATAATTGTTCTATCATTAGGTATTTTTTAAAGACCAGTGATTTTCACTGATTTTGGTAGAAATAACTTCGTGTTAACTATCGGTAGTTTTAACGATACGAGTCTTGACGTTTGCTTTCCACTTTCTTTAGCAGCGACCTTACAAAAGCTTTTCTTCGTAGCTTTTCATTCGAAATTCGTCGCGACTCTGATTATTCCCAGCGAGTTTGAGATCCGAACCGCATTCGATCTTTGCATATGAATTTTCATATCGAGAAACCTGTCGCCGATATCGCGCAAATATAACAACATTCGCCGATATGTTTGCCCGATAGCTTAATCGTTGCCCTATTAAAAAATCGACGATTAAGATAACTCGGTGTTTGAAAATTATAACGCGTTATCGTAACGTTGTATCGCCATTCTCTATGCAGTAAAGTGATCGCTTGTAAAGTCTATTTTACCAAGTTTCCTCTTAACTTGCTTTTTTTCTTTTCCTTCGTAACATCAACGTATAAACGAATACATGTAGGATATTTTTCTCTCTCTATATATATATATATATATGCGACCAGTTAGCAACATTTACACTTTTATGATGTAGAATAATTAAGCAGATAATAAGGTTGCTCCATCCGATTTCCGTAATATCTGGCGTATCTCTCGAGCAACTCGAAACGACTCTCACAATCAGTGAAACGTAAAAGAGTGGAAACTAGTATTCTCAAATATTCCGAGAAACGTTGCAGCGAATTTTATCGCGCTCTCTTTATTACGATATTTCGTATCGTCCATGTAGTCGACATATTACCTGTAATTCGTGGATCTTAAGAGATGCAGGTATTCGAAACGACCATTACGAAGACTGAAAGATAGTTACTTAGTTATTCGAACATGTTGAAACATATCGAAGAAGATAGGGTTCGGTCGTTTTCGAGGAAATTAACCGACCAGGTAATAGAAGTTTACAGCACTGGCATCGACGATTATAATATAACCTGAACGATAGAGAGTCGTAACCGATGGACAAGTTGCTAGCAAGCGATTCGAAGCATATGTCGGCGGGAAATGTTCTAGCGGGAAAGAATTTCACCGCGAACGCCACTCGGAGACTTCAACGTCGGCCA